ATTGCTGCATATGGCTAGAGCAAACAAACTGAAATAGCCAGATACGATGTTTGGGTTGCAACTATATATTGTACTTGAAGAAACAAAAATGTTTAATCATCTTCTTAGGCTGTAAGTAGCAATCACTGAGCAGAGAGATTTGGGATAGGTCCAGTTGAACCAGTTAGCCTCACCCTGGCTCCACTTGTACAACAAACACCAATATAAAAAAAAAGGGGGAGGAACATGATCCAAGGTAGGTTATTAGTTTGTAGCATAGGAAGGCAAGTTGTCACGTGGTAGAGACCAAGTTTTTACAACAAAACTCCTGATTTGGTTATGTCCAGGTCAGAAAAGTAAGTCAATGGGTCCGTTTATGCACTTTATAGAGCCCTAAATGTGTGTCACAAGGGATTTACATAGCTGCTGCTCTGGTCTTTTGACAAATAGAGGCAGCAAGTATTCACACTAACAAACATTTATCACAACTAGAGTATCATCAGACAAATAGTTTAACTTAAATCTCTCAGGCTGATCTTTGCCTTTTCTACTGTGTCTGAGTTTTATTCCTTAGGTGAAAATTCTGCAAAAATAAATGATAATCCCTTTAGCAAAAAAAAAAGAAAAAGAAAGCGACCACCCTGAATTTTAAATTTGACAATCTTACAGTTACCCTTGTCATCTACTGTAAGTTATTATTTAAACACCTAGAATCTGGGTGTGCTCTATGCAAAATGAATTTTGTTTTGATGCATTTAAAATCTGTGTATGCTGGAAAGAAAATGCACCTTTATAATGATATGCTTGCAAATCCATGCATGTCTGCAGGTTGTGTGGGGTTATGGGCTACCTGCTTTTTTGCATACAGGCTGGTTAACCATGAGGACAAGTGGTCTTTACAGATGCATTTTAGCCCCATATGTGAACAGGTTTAAAAGAAGTAATAGGTCAGTTCCTCTGTGTGGTTTTTTTATTGTTTTATTGCTTTTTTGGTTTTTGCAACTTTCAAAGTTACCATTCTTTTGCTATTACTTCCTTAATTCTTACTTGCAACACAAGCTTATTAACCCCTAATTTTACTTGAGAATTAACATCAACACAACTTCCTTTCCAACACTCTCATGATTTCCTAGCTAAGCAGCTGCTTGAAAAAAAAACACTTAAAAAGCAGTAATGATTGACAGAAGAAAAAAAAAGAAAAAGAAAACTCTGCTTCTTTCCTGGGTATCATGCATATTTAATGGGACTAGTGCTGCTGGTCCTTGTTCCGTTTTTAAACTAACCATCCAGTAAGGCATGTGTCCATTAAAGCCCCACAACGGTCAACACCCTTGGGATGAATACGGCCCTACTGCAGCTTTCAGTCAGACAACATCGACTCACATGCTGGAAAACCAGCCAGTAACTAAAAAGGATTATCTTATGTCATTTTCTCAAATTATTTTTAATATACTTGTCACATTTTGCCTAATAACTGCTTTCACTTACTCTGACTTTATGCCATTCATGGAGCTTTTATTTAATAATTAATTGATAAGACTAAGTTGTCCTTAGCCTGTAAAAAGCAGAAACCAGTAGAAAGC